AGAAGCTGGTAACTACTGACCTAACATTTAGTGGTACCTGATACCTTTACATGACTTTAAATTGACGTGTAATCATTATCATTGTTATTATCATGTACCTTCTCATATCACAGGTCAGGCCACTCCTCCCTTCCACTGTGAGGTGGACCCCTCAGTGTTTGAGCCCCCTCCCGACTACACCACTCTCGGTCCGGGCCGCAGCGAGCCAATGAGGGACGAGGATGACAACCTGCTGCAGTTTGCCATTCAGCAGAGCCTGCTGGACGCCGGCACAGAGAGCGACCAGGTCAGAACAAATCCCCTTCTGGGTCACAGAGCCTTGTTCTTCTTTTCCTTTCAAGACTTTTCTGTTTTTTTTTAAAATGTTCTCTCAGTTTATTAATTTGCCCTTCTCATGTGACGTTTTACAGCACCTTTTAAAAAACAAAGGGTCTCTGGTCATAATACTGTTACAGTGTTTTTATCATCTCAAACTCATTCCACTGTGAATTATTTAAAAGCTCAGCACAGTCTCTGTGTAGGTTGTCCTTAAATCTAAAGCCAGGTGTAACCCTTGTGTCTGGTTTTCAGGTGACCATCTGGGAGGCCCTCACCAACAGCCGTCCGGTGCCACAGTCTCCCCTGTACGAGGAAGACTCTCAGCTGGAGAGGTGAGCTTATCCTCAGGCTTTACCCATCTTCTTTTCTTAAACTGGCCATGTCCTTAATAATTACTTCAAACATTCTGAGATGGCACACAACACACCTAAGGACTATTTCCAGATTGTCGTGTTTGACAGAGAGGAGCATAAACCTGGCAGCTGAGTCACTCATCTATGCAACACATGTTAATGACTGGTCCGTGGACTGTTGGCTGGACATTCTGACTTTTGTTTGTTCTGCAAATGAAATGATGAGACTAAACGTCTGCTATCTCAGTCAGTCTGTCTAAATCGTATGCAACACTGATCAGCTGCCAGGCCCAGCTTCAGTTCACGGACACTTTCACGCTGCTCACACTAGTTAAAGGTTTTATGCCTGAATGAAAGAGTCAGAAAACAGCCAGAGATCTGAGGACATGCAGGTAGATATCCTCCATATGTTTTATCTGGTATTAAACTTTAATACTTACACTTTCTAAGAAAGTGATAACACCTCTGCAACCAAATTTAACAGGCTCTTCTTTCTTGCCAGTGCTCCTCCTCTTCACTGTGGAAACAAATGGCACTGATCATATACTTTTCACTCACTTTTTGAAATGTCTGGTTAAAAGGTTATGACCTCACAAACTCTCTTGTAGTTGTTACTGTAAAGAAAAATCAGACAGTTTTAACTTATCTTCCTTGTTGTTATGTAGGGAAATCCCTGGCTTGTGAAGTGACTTAATTACACATTTCTAAATAGAGTTCAGTGATGAGCTTTTTCTTCCCACCTTCTCCTGAGAGCACCAGCTTAAATTTATCCTGTAATGAAGCGCAGCTTGAAAAGTCTCCTGTTAAGAGACCCGTCTTTATTTAACGGTGTCCTCATTTCTCTCCCGTCTCAGGGCGATCCAGGAGTCTCTGTCCATCTCACTGGCCAGCAGAGAGGGAGAGGAGATGGCCGACCCAAGCCAGCCCTCTTCTGTCTCTCCGTTGGACCCCACCGCCAACTCCCCGCTCTCCTACAGCACAGTGACCGATCCGCGCTTATCCGCACACTACGGTGTGGCGACCAGCTTTGACGAGCAGCTGCGGATTGCCATGGAGCTGTCCTGCAGGGAGCAGGAGGAGATAGACAGGTGGGAGTGGAGACGAGATGGATGAGGAAATGAGTCATTTCTGAAATTGTGGGTTTATATGACCTATAATTGTTAGACAGAAGGAAGAAACGACAACAAACAAACAAAAAAACCTCTCACACCTGCTAGAATTTGTAGAGCATACAAAGTATTAGTCATCTTTTTTATTTTTGTTTTAATTTAATGGAGTGTGCACACAGAGAGTGCCGCCCTCTGCTCTTTCATCTCAAACTCATATTTTGGCAGCATGGTGTGACAAACAACAACTGCGACACTTTAGGTGTCAAAAATCTCCCAAAAAACAAATGATGCTGACAAATTATTCCCTGCTTAGGGAAGCAGTTGGATTCAGATGGATTCATCCATTCATCTAACCACCCTTTTTCATAACCACGTATCTAATTCAGGGTTATCCATCTGTCACTTGCTAGAGGCGGGGGACACTGCAGACAAGTTTCCTTGCTCTCACGTGGCTGGAAACATTAAAAATGTTTTAAGCTTGAAAAATAAAATATGAAAAAAATGAGAGGAAGATAATGAGGGATAAAATACTGCTTGTCAGCACCCCATTAATGCTACCCAGCGCTATCATAGCCAAATAGCAAAGTAGTTTATCTGATGTTATTATATCAGCCTTTAGCTGTAGCGGTCTAATTATTTCTGGTGTTAATGGCGGCTCATAGTTCAGCTGCTGTCAAAGAGGTCCGATTGAACCTGCAAACTACTAGCTATACAGGCAGTTTAAAAGTGTCTTTATGAAGCACGAGGGATTTCATCAGATGTTAAATGCCCGAAGTGAAAGGTTCAGTCCACTGATCGAGCAAAACAGTGGGGGGCTGTGGGGGGTCACTTCTCATTCTGCAGTCTTGTGAACTTCTACGGACACAATTTTATGAAATAAAGGTGAAAATTAAAAAATTCTGACCCAGATTAGGACTCACAACGACTCAGACTCGTGTATTGTTTTCAGGCGGTCATCCTCAGTCATCTCTGCTGAGTTAATGCACATTTAGCAGTGAGTTACTCTTCCATCCTCCTTTGTGTCAGATGGTAATGAGCTGCAAATTCGGTGTGAAGTCACGTTGCTTTTGGTGCCTTTCGTTTGGGTGGTAACCTGATTAAATACATTCACCTGTTCAACAAAAAATTCATTTTTATTAGTAAATTTCTTGATTTTCATAATTCATGCGCGCTTCAGCAAGAACTGTGCAGTTTTCTTAGATTGACAACTTTTTTTTCAGCTATGGTCCTGTGAGAAACGGAGTACACCATGTGATTGAGAAGCTTGTAGAAACACCTTTCAGTATAAATAACTTGACTTAATTATTTTCTACATCAGTCTCTCACGTCACGCTTCTTTACGGCATTGCTTCAGTTCATCGAGGTTCGCAGGGTTTCTCTTAATGCCCTACCACAGCATTTCAATCAGGTTGAGTCAGCCATTCTGTTGTGACAGATGGCCTCACATTTGACTCTAGAATACTTTGGTATACAGAGGAGTTCATAGTCCACTCAATGACAACAAGGTGCCCTGGCCCTGTGACTGCAAAGCAAGCCCAGATCATCACCACTCGTCTGTCCAAAGGACATTGTTCCAAAAGTCTTTGTTCAGATGCAGCTTTGCAAACCCAAGCTGTACTGCCATGTGCTTTTTAGAGAGAGGAGGCTTTCTTCTTTCAGTCCTTCCAAACAAGCCACATTTGTTCAATCTTTTGGTGTGTTGGTGTTGTTCCTGCATCATCAATACTAATGTTGCTCCAGGATCAGCATCGCAAATGGCCAGGGAGCATTCAGTCAGCATTAGCCAAGAAGTTAATGCTTTTAAAACACGAGTAACCTAAATTTGGCTAATGGCAAACCTAAGTTGATAATATGTTCTTTTGTACAAACTGATTAAAGAAAAGAGTTAAAATGTTTACTGTTTGTTGTGGAGGAAAACTTAATATAAACAAACCCCCCACTCCCACATTGCAAGGCTATGACATCACAACAATGTGCTTGATCCCTTTAAAGCCAAATCATATTTGTTAAGTGAGTTTTTGAGATTACATCACAAGTGTGATCTCCCTTCCCTAACCCCATCCCCTGAAAAACCCAAATAAATTGCAGGAGATATTTGTATGGAATAAATTGCAAAAAATATTATAAAATATGATACAAATTTAAACTCATATATGCAAATTAATATTTCATGTTTTTTAAATTTCATCAGAAGATTCACCAAATTATTGTTAAAAAATTCGAATTTTCTGACAATTATTTTGTGATTCATGCTTTGAAGGGTTAAGATGATGCAGGAACACCTACACGGGGATATCAAATACACCACTTTACATTTAACACTACTTTAACACACTATCGGGCGATCGTGGCTCAAAGAGTTGGCAGTTCGTCTTGTAAACGGAAGGTTGCCGGTTCGAGCCCTGGCTCGGACAGTCTCGGTCGTTGTGTCCTTGGGCAAGACACTTCACCTTCAGATTACACTTATAACACGATCCAAACAGCTTTTTAGACGCCTTAAACCTGTGAAGAAAGTCATCTTAAAGTGATAATACTGTCAGTGTTCTAACAGATGAACTTCTTATTTTGCTACAGGAAGCGTAAGGAGGAGGAGGAGGAGCTGGAGAGGATCCTGCAGCTGTCACTCACCGAAAAGTAATGTAACACCGACAAGGGCAGGCGGAGGCAGGTCTACATTAGGGAACAATCATCTTATTTATTCTGTTTTATTTTTTAAATCCTGAGATGTTAACTTATTACAGACATTTTATTTGTATTTCTCACACGAAGGCTGCTACAACAGAGTGTAAAGGACCTGAATATAAGAAATGTGAAACAGGAAGAGACCGCTACTCTTAAAAAACAACAAAAAATAAACACTATAGTGAAGGAGTGAGACGAAAAGGGATAGTGTGTTTGGTTTTCTTTTTTATTGAATATTTTTCACAGTCTTGCTGTCTTTACTGAGTAATGAATGATCCTTAAACTTTAAACCTATAACATGATCCACAATAAAGATAAAAAATAAAATAAAGTGCAATCTTAATGGAATAACTTATAAAACTATAACATTTCAAAAGTTTATGTTGGCTTACTCCTGTGTGTGGAAAATTAAAAAAAAATAACAATGATCCTGGATTGTGTCTGTGGGTTTTTTTTGTTTGTTTGTTTTTAATTTATTAATAAAGAATAAGAAGAAACATCAGTTTTCTATATTTACAATTTAATTATACATTGATCCGAAATAAACAACAGTGCTTTAAGCTTTTCTTTCTTTTGTTTCTTTTCTCTCTCTTTTTTTTTTTACACATTTAAACATGAATAACAGGCAGAAGCTGAGACAAAAACCAAAGCTAATCTGCAAAACCTATTCATGTTACTTTGGCAATTGATTGTTTTCACCTACGTGGGATTTTTGACATCAGAGTCATCACTTTTGTATTGTGAAAATAGTCAGCAATCAATCAGTAAATCAAGAAAGCACTCAGCAGAGTTGGAATCATATTCAACCCCAGTGACAGCGTTTAAGCTCACTCTTACAAAACTTATTAAAAATACAAAAATGGAGTACAGTGATGCAACGTTGCACATGTAAACAATCTTTCATCAAGAACATATTAAAGACGTTCACTGATAATCTTACAACTCTGCAATGTGAAAATCGTATCTAGCATTGGCCAAGCTTTTTAAAAATATTCTCGGGCTCTCAAACATGTTTCATCCTCATGTTCAGACCCTCCTGCTTCTGGTATTATTACTTTAGCTGTGGCGGTGTCGCTGATGGCCGCCCTCAGCCCAGTCTAAACATCCAGGGCATGACTTTTCATTCATTAACATCCAAGTTCCCGAGGGGGTTGATTACTTTGATGAACCCTCAGTGTAAAAGTTCCAATACGGATCCATCCACAGGTACAAAGATTTGAACAAACATTTAATCTTTTACAAAGTTTTTGGGACTGACTACGGGATGAAATGTTCAGCTTTTTTATTGACACCCCTCAGCTGGATTGCAATGACGGATGCAGATATTAGTGGTCACTGAAATAAACACAGAAATCTTTTTGATCATCTAGCACCGTCTGCTCATTTGGTCACAATATTTAAGCAACGGTCCAAACTCTCCCATCTTGGAGAAAAATGTATAAATTTCGTTTCAATAAAGCAGAATTTAGCCATTTTCACCGTGAACATTGTGATCTCTGAGCTGTAGGTAAAAGTTTAACGTTATACTTGTCAGGTTACACCAGTCCCTACTTCACGCTGTCGGTTTCTCGGTCGTCCACTGTGCCGTGTTAGATTGTTGTTTTTCCATTCAGTTTTGTTTCATAGGGGGAGACTTTCTCATCAGTCGAAACATAGATGTTTTCTCTCCGTTGTTTTAGGGCTCTCCTGAGCTCATCATCCAACTGAGCTGGTTTAGACAAAAGCATTCAAGTCATTTAGACTTGCTCTTACATTTGCCTTGATTTCTGCCCGTTCGCTTGTTTGTTTTGTTTTTAAATCAACATTCACTCTGCTCACCTAGATTCAGGCTGGAGTCATTGGGATCATCAGGAATGACATATTCTCCCTCATCAGGCTTGTTTGGCAGAATCTCCTCTTTGGTCCGTGACCGCAGCATAGGGGGCACTTGTGCCTTTGGTAGTGGTTTAGGAGCACGTGCGGTTGTGTTGAGGCACTTGGGAGCTGGTGACGCCTCTATTGAACACAATCGGTGGTTAGGAGTTGCCCACTTCACTGTAACCATTTTTAAAAGCAGTACTCTCACCGATCAAAGTGTCATAGGGCTGAGATGGAATGAAAGGACAAAGCCGATACTCAGTTTTTTCAATGAAGTATTTTAGAACATCCTTCAGGGAGCTGACGGTCACCTACAGAGGACGTGTGAAAAAAAGCAGAAGATAGACTCTGTTAATGATGCTCCCCTTTGATTTATCAGAAGTATCTGTCATTCCTCTATTACAGACAGCAGATTTTATGACACTTCTACAGCTTATAAAATAATAATAAAACAACGATAATTACAGGCGGCCTGTTTAACACTGTAAAGCTTCACTGTTCTGCTGAGACTTGCAAACTGGCAATAATCTGAACTTTGTGCTCCACAGAAATGTACTACATTGCCAAAACCTGGACTTGAACCTAGGACCCTCAGATCTTCAGTCTTTATTAGCTCTGCAGTTTTATTGCTCTATGCAATAAATCACATAATGATTTTCTGCAGCATTTATTAATCCTGTGTCCTTTCTGTAAGTGCATTTTGCTTTTATATATGAGTTTTTGGTCATCATTTGATCAACAACTGATAATGTTGAAATTATTTGACTGTTTTGGTCAGGTGACGGGTCACAGTGCTCGCTCTCATTCTCCATGTGTAGTGCATTGCCGAAATAGCTCAGTTGGGAGAGCGTCAGACTGAAGATCTGAAGGCCCCTGGTTCAATCCCGGGTTTCGGCATTATACATTTAATCAGAGAAAGGATGATAATGGCCTAATAAAACCATAAAACTGAACCACAACCTCTGCCTTTTAAATCTGATCTGTATCTAAATTGGTTAAATGTTTAAAAAAAATGCCTGAGAGGACATACTGCCCTCTTAGCAGATGTTCAGTCTGGTGCTCTCCCACATGACTACCAAATTCAAGTCATTTACTCAGTTAAAATTACTTGGCACAGAAAGTAAGGACATTCGTGTTTGACCAATAATTTCTTTATTCGAACAGTAGTTCTTGGCAATTAATCTTATGCTGTTGAAAAGTCTGTTTATTTCCCCTTATTTAACCAGTAAATGGTTTAGTAAGAGAAATGCATTTGTACATATGTACACTCCTGCCTTTCCTTCTCTCTTGCTCCCTCCTCATATGCCTTCCCTTTTTCCTCTTCCTCTGTCTTTGTGCTAACAGTTGTACAGTTTCCACTGGCACTCTGTTGGTCAGCAGCACCTGGGTGATGTCAGTTACTGAATCACTTGCCTTTTTTGGTGCAAGTCATGGATGCTTGGTGATACTCCAGTGCTCTCCAAAAGTTGATTCTGTTCATATGAACGTGACGTTTTGTGGGAGAATCGTTTCGTCACTCATCCAAGTGACTTTTTCAGTCTCAGCTGACTGCAGGTTTCCCCAATCTTATAAACATGACATTGCATAATGACTGAAACCATGCAAATGTACTGTTTACAAGATTGGGGAAACCTGCAGTCAGCTGAGACTGAAGAAGTCACTTGGATGAGTGATGAAACATTTCTCCCACAAAACGCTACGTCTAGATGAGCAGAATCAACTTTTGGAGATTTACTTACCTGGATGATTGAGCATGCATCATAATGACACTCCAGTGCCGAAATAGCTCAGTTGGGAGAGCGTCAGACTGAAGATCTGAAGGTCCCTGGTTCAATCCCGGGTTTCGGCATTGTGCTTTGATTAACTGATTGATAAATCTTTAGAAAAGGTGAACTACAGTATTTTTCTGCAACACCAACCCTCTGCATGTCCTCCTCTACATCCATGAACCTGAACAGAATTGTGTATGTGGGTTGCCCCAGTAAAAAAATCTGGTTTCATCTGAAGTTAATCCCATTTTAATTGTTTTTCCTGTGAGTTTCTAGGCATGGATCATGACTTAAAACTAACCTGAGGTTTGTTCAAGTGAGGCGAACACATAGGTCTTTCTGCTGAACATGTTTGTTGCCGAAATAGCTCAGCTGGGAGAGCGTCAGACTGAAGATCTGAAGGTCCCTGGTTCAATCCCGGGTTTCGGCATTGTGTTTTGATTATGTGTTAATGCCATCAGGTAAATGTCTCCAAAAACCTTACTGAAGTGTTGATCCAAAACCAGTATCGTTAACGACACGATTGATCTGTCCACCTCTAATTTCACTCACAACACGCTCATGATTCTTCTTTGAATCACTTGTGCTCCTGTGGCTTTGAAGGAACTTTATGTGTAAATGTGTCCTATAGCTGAAATATATTCTGATTGGTGAGAAGCTGTGAGAGCCTGTAAGGACTTACTGGTGTCTCCAGTTCAATGACAAATCCGGCATTTATTTGGGTCACTCTGTAATTCTTCATTACAGGCCCGCTGAAACAGAAGAAACGTTGTGATGATTATATTACAGTTAAATTCTTCACAGTGTGTTTTTGCTCAATGGGCTTTCACTGAGCAAAGTTCATATTACGTTCCACTTTCTGTCTGTCCCACTCAATACTGTTTTTATCGCCAGTTAGTTCCGGGTGAACACTTCATTCTCTGTGTCAATGTGTCAGACTTACCAGTAATAATAATAATAAGGTGAATAAATTGTTTGTTGGCACCTTTCAAAGCACTCAAACTCACGTTACATTACGAAATTAGCAGGAACAATACTAAAATAGTTCTAAAACTCAGTAATATATATTATTGTAAGAGATATAAAACAAGACATTTATAGCTGATGTGCTGATGAAATCAGTCAGTACAGGAGAAAATTTATAATACAAAAAGATTAATGGTCAAAATTCAATAGTCATTTATGAGCAGGTATTCTGCATTCTGTGGTGTATATCAGAGGTTTGAATAGATTAGCAGACCTGGATGACACTTGTCTGAGGGTCAAGGCGTAGTTGTTGGGCATGGTGGACGGGCGAAGGATGATGCTTCCACACTCTGGGTTTTCCTCTAGCATCTTCTCAGCCTCCTTTCGAGTCACATCAAAGAAACACCTACAGGATTCAAAGGAAAAACAAGGAGGCACACTTTTATTTTATTGTATTTTAACTGTTTTGAAGCACTTTTTAAAGTCTATCTGAGAATTTTCTGAACCTACAAATGATCAGTGTTTACACAAACAGCAGACAGTGCTTACTCAGCAATCTCAGAGCTCAGTTTGTCTTTGGATGGCGGGCCTGAGAGGAAACCTGGTCGAGGTGGGAGCGGTGGACGTGACGATGGGGATTTTCTTTTTATTTCCTGAGTGAGAACCTCCTTCAGCTGTAACACCTGGCCAGGCATCAGCTGCAGCTTACTGGGAAGCTCCTTCTGCAAGGAAACACGAGCTCGACCTCAGTACCATTCAGATCATCTGTAACATGTTCAAAAATATATCCTGATATATTTTAAAAATATATAAACGTTTATTCACTGGCCACTTTATCTGGCACCTTGCTCATTTACACCAATATCTAATCAGCCAATCAAATGGCAGCAACTCAGCACATTTTAGGCATGTGGACACAGTCAAGATAACCTGGTGAAGTTCAAACTGAGAAGGAAAAAAGGTGATTTAAGTGACTCGGCCTTTGCTGTTGGTGCTGAATGGGCAGGTCTGATTATTTCAGAAACTGCTGATCTTTTGGGATTTTACCATATACCTGACGGCTCATTACAACTAAGGCAGAAGAGCATCTTTGAATGCACAACACATCCATTCACTCGATTTCTGCTGTGCAGTAATGATGCGAAGGACTTCAGACTTTATCTGTACCAGGTGAACATTATTTAAATACCACTGTCTACATCACTGTGTGTGTGTAATATCCTGTATAAATGGAAATAATTGTGCTGAATCAATTAGATCGGTGTGTGTTTGCTCACCTTGACCACAGTCAGGATGAAACCCCTCCACACCTCTCCCATGTCTGCACTGTCCATCTACACACACACACACACACACACACACACACACACACACACAGTTGATAAAAAGCTGGTGTGATGTATAGCATTGATCCATCCAGTGATTAATTATAAGATTAGATATTAGATGTAATTGGATCATTTGAAGTGAGTTTTATCACAACAGACCTTAAGTTGCACCTTCTCTGTGCTGAGGCTGAGAGTGAACACAGTGGGTTCCTTCTTCTGATATGGAGAGTCTGACTCCATCGACTTCAGCTGGTCCAGGTCCAACTTCTCTGTATACTGAGAAAGAAATCAGGTCAGTGCTCCCACAGCACTTCCTTATTGCCCCTCAAAGCTACTTCCTAATTCTTGGAATTAAACACTCCACATATTTTCAAAAGATGATTCAGTGATTAAGTCAAGCGCACAATGTGAACAAACATAGGTGTTTGCTTACGGTATCCTGTGTGTCATCCTTGTACAGAAACAGCGAACACCCACGGAGCTCTCCATAGTATTTCTTGAAATCCTGAAAGTCATTTGATGAACATATCAGGCATCACACTTAAACTACTTACACTTGACCTGTTTCAGTTTTTCAGCTACGCAGTCATGTGGAAAACTATGCACACTTCCTGATTCGGTATCTAGTTGCTATCTGGACTTTGACTGAGCTACTGCAGCACCTTGATTCTTTTCTCTTTTCAGCCATTCTTTAGTAGATTTGGTGCTCTCCATTGTGTAGTTGCATGACCCACTTTTGCCACGTTTTAGCTGTCAGACAGATGGCCTCACATTTGTATATTTAGAATACAGAGAGATTCACAGTCAACTCAGTATCTGCAAAGTTCACAGGGCCTGTGAACTTTGCAGATACCTTTACCGCCATGTTTGCAATCGGTATCAGGTATCATATGTTGTGTTTGTTGTGTTTGTTTTTTCCAAACGTGTTGCTGTACATTATCTCCAAACATTTCTACTTTGGTCTCATCTGTCTAAAGGACGATGTTTCAGAAGTCTCGTGGTTTGTTCAGATGCAACCTTGCGGATCAAAGCTGTGCTGCCATGTTTGCTTTAGTGAGAACAGAGGCTTTCTGCTGGCAACCCTTCCAAAAATGCACTACTTGTTCAGTCTTTTTCTAACTGTTCTGGTGTAAACTTTAACATTTAACACGCTAACTGAGGCCTGTAGAGTCTAAAATGTAGCTCTTGGTTGTTGTTGAAATTTTTCTGATCTTGATGAGACATCGACCCTGGGTAGATTGTCTTAAAACACACCAGAATGGTCCAGACTAGCAAACTGCTAAAACTCTTGCTGGTGATCAGTTCATCAAGTACATTTGATTAACAGCCCATGGCTGCCTCTTACCCTCTTAACTCCTGTGGAAACAGTAAGGATGTAGCTTTATCAAAAATGCTCTTTGTCACATGATTGTATTTACACGTATCTAAAGGCTGTAAGATAATTTACAGATGAGGTATTTACATACAGACCTCTATGTCTTGTATACTTATTGTTGGATTACCATTATAAAATATGATGCACCGTCAGAGCCGAGCTACTCACCCACCGGTGATAAAAGGTGGTTAAATTTAGTCCCCTCTCCACAATAAGGCAGTAACAGTTTACGTCAGATTGAAACAACTACAGTCAGCCCAGATTACATTTGAATAATAACGTCAAAAATTGCTTCTCTACATTTTTCATGCCATTAAAATATTTTACAGTTATAAAACCTTTTCGATAACCAATAAAACAAACTCATAAAAATGTGTCCTACATAGTTTATGTGTACCACAGCACTGTGTGTCTGCTGAATGTCATGACTGCATGAAGAGTACAGACATAAAACATTTTTATGTTTTTTGGTGTTGAGTAACACAAAATTTGCTTTGTCTCCACTTTTTAAAGTAGTCCAAGAGTAATCAGATTATGCTACACAAATTTATGTAATCTAGCGGATTAATAATCAGATATGTAGCTTGTACTCAGCAACCAACATTACAGTGCAGTGCGGTAAGACCCAACTCTCTGACCTACAGCATTAAAATACTGTCGGTCAGTAAGTGATTTAGTAACAGGCCGACAAAGCTAATTCTCCATTATGAGTCCTTACTTTTGTTACACTTTTGCAGCTTTTGTTTGGTTTGTTTGGTCTTAATTATTTACATTTCCTCGTGTTTATTCCCCATATTCGTTCTTACCTTGTCTTTACTGTGTTTCTTCAGCAGGTGTCCGGAGTAGTAGAGAGGCAGGGCTGTGATCGTCTCCCTCCTCTTGTGGACAACTCTGGGGGGCACTGACATTGTCCAGTAGTCTCTCAAGTCAACGTCTTCTTCTGCCCTGGTTTTGCTCAGCTTTGGCTCAGCTTATGTCTTACAGTGCAGTCACTAGTCAAGGGTGAACTGCTGAGTCCTGGAAAAGCTTTGTTCTGATTTTGTTTCCTTATGAGGCTCTGATAACGGGTATGAATTGAGACTAGGCGTCCAGAATATGAGAGTTTTGATCACGAGGCCATAAATGTACAAAGATAAGCCTTTCTTTCCCCCAACTTCAGCCTCAGCACTGTCCTCTCCCTCAGAATGAGGAAATGTTAGTAAATATATAAAGAAGGAAGTAGCTGGTGTTATAAGAACTCTCATACTAACTTGTGCTTTTGTACTTTGGACCTGAGCATATCCCTAAAAAGCTTTACACCACAATAAAATATGCACACACACACACACACACACACACACACACACACACACACACACACACACACACACAC